ATCATGGCATTACAAGGTACCAACCTGAGACGACAAGGGAAGAGAATACCAAAACTCAGGAGATACACGCAGCTAAGGAAGAAGAGAATGAAGTTACTGCTCCAGAAGTAACAGAAGAAAATATAAGTGAGGAAAGTGGAGAGGAGATTGAGCAAGTTCTGAGAAGATCAAGTAGACAGAGTACAATGCCTAAGTATCTTGATGATTACGTGCTATTTGCAGAGGAAGAGGCAGAGTACCTATTGATGTGCTTGAACAATGAGCCGAGAGACTTCTACGAAGCTAAAACATCTCAGGAATGGATGGCTGCATGTGAAGACGAGATCAAGTCTATAGAAAAGAACCAAACATGGACACTCGTTGATCTTCCACATGGAGCAAAAGCTATAGGCTTGAAGTGGGTCTTTAAGCTGAAAAGGAACTCAGATGGAAGTATTAACAAGCACAAAGCTAGGTTGGTTGCAAAAGGATACGTTCAGAGATATGGAGTAGATTATGACGAAGTGTTTGCTCCAGTCGCAAGAATTGAAACAGTTCGTTTGCTCATTAGTCTTGCAGCTTCTAATGGTTGGGAGATACATCATCTCGATGTAAAAACGGCATTCCTCCATGGTGAACTTAAAGAAACCGTGTATGTCACACAACCTGATGGCTTCGAAGTGAAGGGATTCGATAGTAAGGTGTATAAGCTCAATAAAGCTCTATATGGCTTGAAACAAGCACCTCGAGCATGGAATGACAAACTGAACGGAGTACTGAGGGAACTACAGTTTAAAAGATGCTTGAAGGAGCCATCAGTACATCACAAGAGAGTGGGTAACGATATTCTCCTAGTTGCAGTCTATGTTGATGATTTGTTTGTCTCAGGAACAAGCATTGATCTTATTGATAAGTTCAAAAAGGAGATGAGTGCAAAGTTTGATATGAGCGATTTGGGAAGGCTAACGTATTACTTGGAAATAGAAGTGATTCAACACCAAGAAGGAATCATTTTGAGTCAAAGAAGTTATGCGTTGAAGATATTATCAGAAGCAGGAATGAAGGACTGCAATTTAGCTCACACGCCAATGGAGCAAAACATCAAACTTTCGAAGTCTGAGACTGAGGCAGAAGCTGATGGTACGAAGTACAGAAGGAATGCCGGATGTCTACGGTACTTGCTTCACACAAGGCCTGATCTGTCATACTGTGTGGGAGTCTTAAGCCGTTATATGCAACAACCAAGAGAGTCACACGCAGCTGCTATGAAACACTGTCTCAGATACCTACAAGGAACTACAAGCTTTGGTTTAACATTCAAGCGTACTAACTCAAGACCAAAGCTGATTGGCTTCAGTGACAGTAGTCATAACGTTGATCCGGATGATGGTAAGAGTACAACAGGCCATGTATTCTACTTAGGTGAAAGTCCAATAACATGGTGCTCACAAAAGCAAGATACAGTGGCACTATCATCATGTGAAGCGGAATTCATGGCTGGAACGGAAGCTGCTAGACAGGCGATTTGGTTGCAGGATTTACTTGGAGAGATCAGTGAAACCTTGTACGAGAAGACAGTCATTAGAATAGACAATCAGTCAGCTATTGCACTCACTCGCAATCCAGTGTTCCACGGACGATCAAAACACATACACACACGCTATCATTTTATTAGAGAATGTGTGGAAAAGGGTTTGATTGAGGTTGAGCATGTACCTGGGAATGAGCAAAAGGCAGATATCTTAACAAAGTCATTGGGAAGAATCAAGTTTCAAGAGATGAGAGATCTTATTGGAGTTCAAGATTTGTCAAAAATGGAGTTCAAGCTTAAGGGGGAGATTGTTGGTTTAAGCTTGAAGAATAAAAAGGAAGCTTGAGTCACAAGATAAAGCCTAATCTACCGAGATATGGATAAATAGGAAACACAAGTTATTTAGGAGTTATCTAATTGTGTTGTCTTATAAGATTAGGAATTATCTGTAACACCCTATATAAGTAGATGTCGAGCTCATGGCATAAACTAAGGGGAATTTGTGTTGTTTGAGAACTTGAGTTTTGAGATATTTTCTCANAATCTACCGAGATATGGATAAATAGGAAACACAAGTTATTTAGGAGTTATCTAATTGTGTTGTCTTATAAGATTAGGAATTATCTGTAACACCCTATATAAGTAGATGTCGAGCTCATGGCATAAACTAAGGGGAATTTGTGTTGTTTGAGAACTTGAGTTTTGAGATATTTTCTCAGGTTAATAAGAAGAGAGTTGTTGTTACTTGCATCTTTGTTTTCAATAATAAATACTGCACCATGTGTTGTTTCTTTGGCTAATTGATCAGCTGCTTGATTATTCGCTGTTGGTTAGTGCGACAGGCTAATACTTCTGCGAAATGCTCATCAAATCTCGTATATTAGGATCCGCAAGAATGAGATTAGGACCTTGAATACCTCTCCATATGGCTTGAGCATACCGACATTCAAAAAAACAAATGGTCTTTGTTTCTTCAGCTTCATTACATTGCTTGCATATAGTATTTCGTGTAACTCCTCTGTGCTGGAGCACACTACCAATAGGAATTGCATCTGATACTAACCTCCACATGAAGTGATTTAACTTTGGGGATGTCTTTACTTTCCAAATATATTTGTAGAAGTCCTTTGGCTACCTTATTTGCAAAAAAAATTAAACAAATGCTATTTTTTTTTGGATTTATTCTTGGATTCACCCTCTAGGATGAATCTCTAGGTTCCCCTTCCAATAAGATTGTACTAGGTGATTTTCCCGTGATCATGCACGGACATAAATATTTATAAAATAAATATATTATAATGTTTATTGATATTTACTTTAACTTTTATATTAATTTATAGTTTTTATGTATAATTTATATTAATAATATTATATTATTTTAGTAATATATAATTTTAGATATATTATATTTAGTCAGTTTTATCATTTGGATTATATATTTCTCTGAATTCAATTATAATTTTTTTTATTCTAAATATTTTAAATTTTTTCTTAATTGTTTTATTTACATTTATGTTGGTTGTTATCTTATAAATATAAGTATATCTTAGTAAAATTATGTATTTTAAGATTTATTGTGCTAAGAACGAAAAAATAAAAACTAAAGTGTCTGATTCTAAATTACATACATAAGTAATAATAATTTTTTTTGGAAACTTATGAACAGATATCAATATTTACAATAATTAAATATTTTATAAATTTTAAATATTTTATGCCTTAGATTGATTGGATGGTAAACTGAAATTTATTTTAAATAATTTTAAAAATAAAGAATTATGATTTGATTAAGTATTTTGATTTTGGTTATATTAAATTCCACAAACATAAAAACAGAACATTAAACATCAAAAGAGTTAATATACCTACCTCGTTAAATTATATAATGTTATGGTATTTTAAAAGAAATGTAGTTATTTGATCAAAAGATGTTTATTATTAAATTTATTTTTAGTTTTTTTAATATCTCTTAAAATATGCAGTAAAAATGTGATTGTTTTTGAGAAATTATATTATATAAGTAAAATATAATTTATATTTTTGCTGTAACTTTAAGATATTATAATCAAATAAATATACTAACTATAAGTTTTTTTGTCAATTAAACATATATCAATTTATGTTACTTAACTATTTTATGTAATCATCTAATAAAATCGATAGATATATACAAAAACTCATTACTTTGAAAATATATATTTTATTCTTTAAATTCTTTTTTTTTTTAAATATTTCTTTTTCTAATATCAAGATTATTTATATGAACATTTTTTATGAAAACACATTATATACAAATATTTTTTTCATCTAAGAAGATATAGATATAAAGTATAATTACTTAAAAAGTATAAGTTATGTTATTTAAAATATATTTAAGTTAAATATTACTATTTTGTAAACTTTCTTTTTTTATGAAACCATATATATTATATATATACTTATTTTTTGTTTTAAATAGTTTTGTAAATTTTATAAATATTTTATATTGTTATTTGGAAGATTTTAAAAAGAAAATAATAATATTTAAATATATTTTTAATTCATTAGGGGTATCATAGTAATCAACCAGCGTGAGAATTAACGTGAATGCGACACCTAAGAAAGTGACTTCTCAAATAATATTATAGAGATTATTTCATATTTGGTTTTTTATAAAGGAAACAAAATCTTATTAAGTTATATTATGTTTTAAAAAAAAAAATAGAAAAAATACAAAATAATATTAATTAATACAAACGAAAATAATTATTTTTAAAGAAAATATTTTAACACTAAACCTTAAACTCTAATGCTAAACCCTAAACCCTTGGGTAAATCATAAACCTTTGGATAAATCTTATAGTGTTCTAAAAATTTAGTGTTTATGATTTATCAAGGGTTTAGAGTTTAATTAGGATTATACTTTAGGTTTAGTGTTTATGATTTACCCAAGTTTTAGGGTATATGATTAGAGTTTAGGGTTTAATGTTTATGATTTAGCCAAGGGTTTATGGTTTAGTGTTTTAGTGTTAAAATAATTTTTTTTTTAATTTTTTTTAATAAAAGTTATCTAAAGGGTTATGATTTATCTAGGGGTTTAAGGTTTAGGATTTAGAATTTAGGGTTTAGCGTTAAAATGTTTTCTTTAAAAAAAATATTTTTTATTTATTTATTTTGTATTTTTAGTTTTTAAAACATAATACAACTTAACAAAATTGTGTTTCCATTTTTAAAAGATACTCCCTCCGTTCCACAATATATGATGTTTTATCCAAAGCACAAGAATTAAGAAGCTTAACTTTTTAAAAGATAACATCATTGATAGTATAAATTTAAAATAAATTAACCAATCATAAATAATAAACTAAAATACTATTGGTCAACCGGTTTTCTATAAAGTTAAAGTACCTTAAAAATATCAAAACATCTTATATTTTGAAACATCAATTTTCTCTAGAACATCTTATATTATGGAACGGAGGGAGTATCAAATATGAAATAATGCAATACTATTGTACGGTGAACCTCTAAATTCCCCCTAAGGGATAAATCTAAGAATAACTCTTATTTTGCATCGTTAATAGAACAACTTAGAGCATCCACATTAATGATCCCAAAGAGAGGAGTTCAAGTTTTATTTTTATTTTTGTTTTTATATTTATTTCGTTTATTTAACAAAAAAAATAAATCGTGGGCCGCTTTGTGACCCACAAAACAATGATAAACACATGATTACCGTAGAGAGCTCACGGGACACAAATTCCCAGATTATTTTAATTTTTTTTTTGGAATCGTGTGAACTTTGTGTTGGTGCCTCAATGCTCATGCTCTTATGGAAAAAATGTCTCGTTAAGACAGAATTTATTATAACCTCACCACACCAAACCATCATACATGTGTATGTGAAGTAAATAACAGACAAAGGCCAAGGTTCATTGACAAAAGCAAAAGGCCATTAACACATTACACAAGTCTTTTTAAAATTGGTGACAATAGAAAGAATGGATAAAAGTTGGAGTCACTCATCAATCAAGCTGCACCAACCCTTCCAAAGAGTGACTTTCGGATCTACAAACATTCAATATAAACATCTTTTTAGAAACAAAAAAAAAAACTCAAAGCTTAAACTTGTCAAGTTCTTGTGAAGACAAATGAGATTTCTAGTGATATTTGTCTAACCTCTGGAAGTTTCTTGCGGAAAGCGACCTCCAACCTAGCATCAAGTGTGTTTTCACACACAATTTTCCCATCACGAGAAGCCAGCACCACTCCTCCAGCACTGTTATAACACACAAGAAAAGTTGTATTATAGTTTTGGTTCTTTACAGTTCATAGTATGGTTCCTTACAGCTTGTAGAAAGTTACCAGTATGGAGCATGAGGATCATCATCGGAAGGAGCAGGAGGAAGGAAAACGTCCTTGTCAACAATGATCTCAGGAGCATGAACCTTTGCTTTCTCGCAATATTCTTCAGTTGCATCGTCCAGCATAGACTCCACAATGTGGAGGTCTTCTTTGCGACAACGCAGTAACACTGAAGGCTCTTTCAGTCTAAGTAAACACTACAGTTTCACAATCAAAACCAATATTAGAGAAGCATAAAAGGTTAGAGAGAAACTCTGGGATTGAGATTGTTGGTGTGAGACAGACCTGAACAATGAGGTGTTTCAAGAGATGTTTGTACTGATGGTGATGATGATTGAAGAAGCCATGTTCACTAACTTTGAGGAGTTGCTTTGCAGCCTCTTCTTTCATTGCACTGACAATGTCATCTTGTGCTTGCAGAACTTTAATCCTCGATGCGTTCAGTTGCATTGAGTAATCACTTTAAGAGACACAAGAAAAAAAAGAAAGCAAAAACACACAAAATTAATAAGTGACATCAGATCAAGACAAAACCAATCTACATCTGTTTAAAGGAAATCACTATACGAGTCAACAGATGACCAACAATGAGTCAATCTAGAACTAGTCTAACATAACCCTTTGTAGTATCCAAACGTAATTGACATTAAACTATGAACCAATAAGCCAAAAGAGGCAGACAAAACTTGAGAGAATCTAGTAGACAAAGAGAGCTTACATCTTCCTTCGGACATCGACTTGTTTCTCCTTCTTCTCATACTCCTGTCTAATCTTCTTCTTCTCTGCCTCGACGAGCTGCAACTTCTCAATGTTGAATTCCTGTAACATCATCACCATTCAGCAGATCAGATAATCAATGAGTCATTTTCCTATGAACTAGTGGTGGCTAAACAAACGAAATCTCAGAGAAATATTAACTTAAGACCGAAGATCATCAAGTAACACTGTTTTTAAAAAGAGAGATCAAAGGTCAACATTAACGTAGTTGTACAGTAAGATCGAGAGAGAGAGAGAAGGTACCTCTTCGGCGGAGACAGATATCTCGTTGGCTTTTTCTTCGGCTTCCTGGCGGATAAACCTCACCATCTGCTCGATCTGCTTGGAGACATCTGCGTCGTTCATCTTTGCCCGGGGAGAAACTTACAAGCCACCTACCAAATGACGATTGGGAGAGAACAAAAAAAAAACAGAGGAGATCTTGTAGTAGTGATTGGTGATGATGATGAAGAGAGATGGTTTTGAAACGGTTTTGTCTTAATATTGTTGACGGGCCCCAAGCAGTTAATATTATTATATGGTCGGGTCGACCCAGCCAGATAATGTTTGGTTGTCTTTTTGTTTTTATCAAATTATAGATTGCCACTAGAATCATCCAACCTCACGTGTTACTCGTTTTATCTTGGAGCAATTGAGATTTATTAATATAATTTTTTTTAAATATATATATGCCAAAGATATTTACTGATGTGTTGAAAAATCATTTTGGTCGAAAAAAAAATATAAAATCTATATGAATATGTCGTAATAACATATCTTAAAACCATTATTTTCATTACAAATATCAGTATTTTAAAAATCGATATAAGCAATAGATTTATTAATAACATGTTTTGAAAGCATAGTTTTTCAATAAAAATATCAAAATTCTAAAAATTAGTTTAAGGTGCTTAGGCTTCTACTTATTCGGTAAATCGAACCTGAACGAAATGATATATCTACGACAAGTTTTTAAAAAATCGGTTTAGTCGTTTAATCAAATTTTCAGTATTATTTTAGAACATTGAAAATATTAAATTATTTCTTTAAAACTTTGAAATTACAACTTGGACCTTATCAAATAGCCTCAAATTACAATATAGTAATAACATATTTTAAAATCATTTATAATGTTTTCACAAATATTTAAAAGCCATAATAAATAATTTTAATTTTTTGTTAAAAACTTTATAACTGATTTTTAATAATATTTGAAAACCATAAGACATAATAATTATTATAATACTTTATATACGAATATAATTATGTATATAATAATATGAAACTATTTATATTGCTTTCTATAAAAATATTTATTACTTTATATAGTTTATAAATATTAAAAATTATTAATCGAACACTATTATTCTTTCTATAATTTTCACAATTAATTATCATAAATGACTGTTTGTAATATCATTTAGATTATTTGGCAAGTGATATTAATTGGTTATATACTTATCTTTTATTTTAGATCTAATAAAATAATTAAAAGTTAAAAATTATTGACCAATCAAATTATAAAAAATTCTCAAGACTTCACTAATAATTTAGACATAAAAAAGTCAGTTAAGTGACTTCTCAACTAATATATAGAAATATATTTTGTTTATTTTTTTTATCATTTTAGATTGCCACTAGAACCATCTCACCTCAGCGTGTTACTGGTTTTATCTCTGATCAACTGGGATTTATTACTATCTTTATACAAAATACATTTTATAATTAAGAAAAAAATTACACATATTAAGGAAAACTTGTGTATATATATATTTATTTATTCTTACACATATTTTAGCTAATATAAATAAAATAATTATCAAATCAAAATATTTTATAAGTAATATTAAGCTAAAAATTGCATTTTAATTTAAAAATGACATTTTGTATGAAATAGTAAGAGTAATAAAACTCCATAAAATATCTGCAGAACATATTTACTGATATTGTTGATAAATAAACATCTATATGAAAACAGACATAGCAATAACATATTTTTAAAACATTATTTTCATAAAAATATGAATTTATTTCATTTACAATATTAACTTAAAATATGAAGATCTTTTGTAAGCTTTTTTTTTTTTAATCTGCAGAATTCGCCATTCATCTTCTCTGGGAATTAAAACCCTCTTACTGTAGAAACTGCGTAGCATAGGATTTGAAACCTCGATCTAGTGTATAAATTTTTAAACCTTAACCATTGGGGTACGGTGTTTCCAAAAATAATATAATTTCTAGTGATGACAATTAGGTAAAAAATTAAATCATTAAGAATAATTTTGTAATTAACCATTGTAAAAACGTGAAAGTAACATAAAAAATCACTTTTCAAATATTATAGAGATTCCTCTCCTCACTTCTAAGAGTACCTCCACTACTCATTTATAATAGGGTATCTCAAGACAAAAAATTGAAAAATTACACATAAAACAGGAGAGAGAGACAGAGAATCGGTTGATTGTTAATTTATTTTGTTAAATAAAAAGATTTATTTTTCAGTTTCACTTTAGAGGAGGTCTAACCAATAAAGTTGCTCTTACCTATCATCTTGTTAACAAGAACAAAGCAAATTTCCAAACCATGTTATATGGATGTCTATCAAAGTAAGAATCCCTTATATTTCTAAAACTAAGACATAACTCTCTCTATAAACTAATACATCAACACACAGGCACAATTACAAAGCAATATACAAAACAAACAACATATTCAACTATCATAAAATGTTGTAGATTCTTTCAACCTTTTCTAATAGAAAGTTGATAATCTCTTTTAATTTTATAAAACAAGTTGAGAATGTTTATCAGTATATTCCTATCTCCATTTATACAAAGAAATTGTTAGCCAAGCTTCTGAATTTTACACCGGTCACGTCTTTGCATTACAGTATAGTATAAATAGCCGTTGGTGCCAAAATGTATGGAGCAAGAATTAAATTACAGAACAACAGTTGAAAACTTAAACGCAGAGAAACGGTCACGATTTGTTAATGGCTCCATCTCGTCTTTTTAAATTTCTCAGTCTATAAAACAAACATTTTTGCCAGAGATCTGCCGGCGTCGTATCTATTCAATTTCACAATATATAACTTAAAAAAAAAATCTGAACACATTCTTCAACTAAAGAAAAGTTCTCTGTTACAAGATAGAGACAAAAAGCTAGTTTCTTACAATGCAAGTCTTCTCCTTCTTTTTCTCTTTGATTCTCTGTTTCACTCTGATCTCCTCTGAATCCCTTAAAAACGACAAGCGAGCTTTGCTTGATTTCTTGTCACATTTCACTTTACCTCTTCACCGCTGGAACCAGAGCTCTCCGACTTGCCATCAGTGGACCGGAGTTACCTGCAGACAAAACAGAATCGTATCCGTTAGATTGCCTGGAGTTGGACTCAACGGTTTGATCCAACCACTCACCATCACTCGTCTCTCGTCTCTGAAGATTCTAAGCCTTAGAAGTAATCAACTCACCGGAGAGCTCCCTTGTGATTTCATTAACCTGAAGAACCTGACTCGTCTCTATCTACAACACAACCGCCTCTCCGGTCCATTACCACCGATCTTCTCAGAGTTAAAGAATCTCAAAGTTCTTGATCTTTCTAACAATGGATTCAACGGAAGCATCCCATCCTCTCTTTCAGGTTTGACCAGACTTAGAGTCTTGAACCTTGCAAACAACTCATTCTCAGGGGAGATTCCTGACCTTGATCTTCCAAACCTGCGTCATATCAACCTCTCAAACAATAAACTCACCGGCACAATACCAAAATCTCTTCAGAGATTCCAAGATTCAGCCTTTTCTGGTAACAACGTAACCCGAAAGGAGAATCATCACAAGTCTCCTTTCGGGTTAAGCCAGCTTGCTTTCTTGCTCATTCTCTCTGCAGCTTGTGTTTTGGGTGTTTCTGGTCTTTCCTGTATAATAATGGCAACTTGTCTCTGGAAGACCAGAATCTATGGGAAGTTGCGGAAGAGAGACTCCTCCTCGTCATTGTCTTCTCCTCTAGGAAACTGGACACCTAGAGATGATGACGCTGAAGAAGGTGGGAAGATCATCTTCTTTGGGGGAAGAAACCATTTGTTTGATTTAGATGATCTGCTAAGCTCATCTGCAGAGGTTTTGGGTAAAGGTGCTTTTGGTACAACGTATAAGGTAACAATGGAAGACATGAGCGCGGTTGTAGTGAAGCGATTGAAAGAAGTAGTGGTGGGAAGAAGAGAGTTTGAAGAACAAATGGAGATCACTGGAATGATCAGACATGAGAATGTAGCTGAGTTAAAAGCTTACTACTATTCCAAAGACGATAAACTCGCTGTCTACAGCTATTATAGTCAAGGAAGCCTCTTCGAGATGCTACACGGTTAGCTATAAACTCTTCACTTACAACTAACTCAAAAAGCAAAAATGTTCAATATTTGTTTTAATGCAGGAAACAGAGAAACGTATGATCGAGTACCTTTGGATTGGGATACTAGACTGAGAATAGCAACAGGAGCAGCGAGAGGTTTAGCTACAATCCACGAAAGGGACAACGGGAAGTTCATACATGGGAACATCAAATCCTCAAACATCTTCTTAGACTCACAATGTTACGGCTGCATTGGTGATGTTGGGTTAACAACCATCATGAGATCTCTTCCCACTTGTGGTTACCACGCACCTGAAATAACAGACACGAGAAGAAGCACGCAGAGTTCGGATGTATACAGCTTTGGGGTGGTTTTACTGGAGCTTTTGTCAGGGAAGTCACCTGCAAGTCCAGCTGTTTCAGAGACAAAAGATGGTGGGAACATGGATTTGGCAAGCTGGATAAGGAATGTGGTGGTGGAAGAGTGGACAGGGGAAGTGTTTGACATGGAGATTTTGAATGAATCGGGTGGTTTTAAGGAAGAGATGGTCGAGATGATGCAAATAGGGTTGGCTTGTGTTGCAGTGAAGCAACAAGAACGGCCTCACATGGATCAAGTTGTGAAAATGATTCAAGATATTCGATCAACTGATTTATCAGAGTAAGGGACTGAATACATAGTAGTAGCCTTCCACAAAAATATAAAAGTTCATTTTCTTTTTTTCATTCATAGATTCATTTGTTTATTCAATTTGATGTTTGCGAAAAAAAAAAGAAACTTTGAGTTTGTATAGATTCAGAGACAAACAAAATAATCCATTTTCATATATATAAAAAAAAACAGAACATAAGCACTAAATAAAACATTGGGAAGATTAAACAGGGCTGAGAAGCTGGAAAAGGTGAGGCTTTGGGTCTGACTTCATGCCGACGATGATGATGAGAGGAATGAATCCATAGTGAGTGGCGACTTTTGCTTTCTTGAGTGACCAGTTGGTCCAATCCTTGAAGAGCTCGTACTTGGATGATGACGTGGAAGAAGAAGATGATCCCTTCGACCCTTTTCCTCCTTTGGCTTTGAGCTTCAACGGACCCTTAGCCGCCATTTGATTCTGACTTCCTGTTCAGAGTTCTCTGCGTTTTATCTGCGTTAGGGTATTTTGGAAGCGGAGGTTAATCAAAAACCCTAAAGGGTTTAAGCCATTTTAAAGCACCCTTTTATGAAACACTCTATTTGGGCCAGAAGGTTTTACCTATTCTTATTTCTTTTCCATTTTAATATTTTCTTCATCGCTGGCAAATTTGGTGGTCTCCAAGGCTTTCTCTTCCCCTCGTCTTTCCCACGATCGCCCAAATAAAAAATAGTGTTTTTGTACAGAGGGGGAGAAAATGGCTTCGAAAAGGATCTTGAAAGAGCTCAAGGATCTCCAGAAAGATCCTTCTACCTTGTACAGTGCTGGTCAGACTTAACTCTTTTTCATGTCTGATCCTTTTGTAGATAGATAGATAGTTCTCTTAAGTATCTCGTTTTAAGCAGAAATAAGGTGACATCTTTAAGATGTAATTGCAGGCTTGCAGCTACGTAATAATCATATACTGAAACAAACTGATGGATAGTATACTGATACTAAGATGGGTAATTGATTGCAGCTATCTAATGACCATATTCAAGAATATATATCATAAATAGCCGCTCTGTAGTGATCATAGTCAATTAAGCTTTAAGTGCCAACTACCTTTAGATTACACTGTGCCTTGTTTATAGTTATCAGAAAATCAGGGGAAAAAGAAAGCTCTTTCTTGTACCCTGTTAGGTATCTATTGCATTCGGGTGTGTTATAATTGTTGATTTTGCTTATTAGAATGTAAAACGTTCATTATGAACCGGTACTGTTGGTCTCAGTAGAGTCAGACATTAATGTAGGTGAATTATGTTGTGTGTATTTCTGTTATTGCTATGGATCATATGTTTAAGAGAGGCTAAACTTTGTTTTATGTCTTCTGTAAAACAATTTCGAAATCATCAAGGTCCAATTGGTGAAGACTTGTTTCATTGGGAAGCTACAATAATGGGTCCATCAGATAGTCCTTACTCAGGTGGAGTCTTTATTTTAACCGTTCACTTCCCTCTTGATTATCCTTTCAAACCACCAAAGGTAATTAGAATCGTTTTTAACCTTCCTATAAACCATTGACTATGGGTTTTATTGGAATCCAGTTGCTCTTTTTTCTTCTTCTTCCAGGTTGCGTTTAGGACAAAAGTATTTCACCCTAATGTCAGCAGCAACGGAAGCATTTGCTTCCACATTTGCCAAGATGTTTTGAAAGAACAATGGAGTCCTGCACTCACCATTTCCAAGGTGAACAAATATAAAGCTGTCTGTTTATTTCAACAAAATAGCAATGGCGATAATGAGTAGGCCTTTAACTCTGATTTGAATACACTCTACTGTGACTTTCTAGGTTTTGGTTTCAATATGTTCATTGTTAAGTGATCCAAACCCAGATGATCCTATGGTTCCCGAGATTGCTCACATGTATAAAACCGATAGGACCAAGTATGAGTCTACTGCAAGGAGCTGGACTCAGAAATATGCAATGGGGTAAAGTTTTCTTCTTTTGATCCTTTTTTTTGTTCCCTGGTTACCTTTTTGTTGTTTTCCGTGCATTAATATGTTACCTTTTGTTGTCTTCCTTGCATTAATATTTTAAAATGATCTTGTCTATAATTATCTTAGACCAATCAACCATGTGAACAATTAGCAGTTGCATTGTTGGTTAGTGCTTTGGGGGAAAAGGTCAATTTCTTCCATTGACTACAGATGACTCAGTTTTCATGTGGCATAAGAAATGTGGCCAAGACAACGTATTTAAGTTAAAATTAAACTTTAAACTGATACCCGGACCACTCGGCCAAGGCAAATATTGATATAGTCATATTAATTTGTATATTTTAAACAATACTCATCATCATCTTTAGATTCAGTCTGGGTGAAAGCAGTGTGAATGTGTGATCCCACGATGAGAAAGTCAATTTTTGGCCAAAAGAGTACATATAGAGAACGAGGCTGGCATGATTTGCGACAGAGAGAAAGCAAAGATTTCACATGGTTGGGTCCTTGATACATCGCCTGAGAAATCCTTAATACAACTGAAAGTGCTTCCGTTTCTCAACATCTAAGTTTTCCTTGCGACAACCAAGACAAAGAATCTCCATATTCTCAGGTATGTAGACATCTTCGATGACATTTTGTTTTGTTTTTCTAAGCTTTAGGGGTTTGATGAATTAGACTCTGACATTATGCTGACATGACAGATAACATTTCTAGTTCAGATACTATGCCGCAGGTGGTTAATTTGACAGGGGTTGGTAGCGCCTCGCATAAGGATTTCGATAGAGATTTGAATTCTGGTGTTTCTACACCTAGTTTATGGTTCGACGATCATGACTTGCGTGTAGGATTGTGCTTCAAAGATGCTGGTGAGCTTAAGAAGGCTGTGGACTGGTGTTCTATTAAAGGAATGCAAAAGTGTGTAGTAAGAGAAACTCACAAGGACGAGTTAATGTTTGAGTGCGTTAGGTGGAAATGCAAGTGGTCACTTGAGGCTGCTAAAATAGAAAAGCATGGACTTTTCGAGATAATTAAGTACAACGGTCCACATACTTGTCCTCCCATTGAGGCAAAAAATTCTGATGCAGAGCTTGAAGCAGATGAGATTGAGCGTTTGGTCAGGAGACATCCCACGCTATCATTTTCAGAGTTGAAGAAGTGGTGGAAAGAAAATATTGGCTATGAGCTTCAAACTTCGGAGGTGCGGGCGGCTAAAGAGGAGGCTATTAAAAGAGCATTTGGAGATTGGGATCAGAGTTTTGAAGATTTGCCCAAGCTAATGTCTGCCTTTCAATCATCTAACGGACTCCTAGTTGACTGGAAATACGATCTTTTTCCTAATCCTAACTTTGCAGCATTCTGTGGAGTGTTTTGGGCATTTCCACAGTCCATCCATGGGTTTCAACACTGTAGACCTTTGATCGTAGTGGACACCAAAGAGTTGAGTGGTAAGTACCAGTTAAACTTGTTGATTGCCTCAGGGGTAGATGCAGACGACAATTTTTTGTCTCTTGCATATGCGGTTACTAAAGAAGTATCCATTGATAGTTGGCGTTGGTTTCTGACTAATATCAGAGAGAAAGTCACACAAAGGAAAGGCCTTTGCCTCATCTCCAGTCCCCACCTGGACATAGTCTCTGTTATTAATGAACCTGGGTCTCAGTGGAAAGAACCCTGGGCTTATCACAGGTTCTGTCTGAAACAGTTCTCTTCCCAATTCTCTCTTCTTTTTCCAGGCTACGAACAACTGGAGAGTCTCCTAAAGCAAGCTGGAGAAACGGGTCAGAAGGAAGAATTTGAAACACATATAGAGACTGTTAAAAAGGAGAACCCAGAAGCTTGGAGAAGGTTAGACCAAATCCCACAAAATCAGTGGGCTCTAGTTCATGACAGTGGTCGTAGATACGGAATCATGGAGATAGATACAAACGCTTTGTTTGCAGAGAGTAGAGGCTTTGAGTTGGCTGATCATGCAGTGACAGGTTCTGTTATGCTTCTCTTTGATGAGCTGCGAGACTGGTTTGACAACCTTTCTCATTTCAGCCGTGGCTGTCTTAATTCCGGCTATGTTTACACCAAACGTGTCAGGTATAAGCTTGAAGAGTTCAGGGCAGCTACGGTTACTTACTTTGTAATGCCGTTAAACAACAACGCTTTTAAGGTCGCAGAACCATCAGAAAATGATAATTTAATAGTCCAGTTGAGCAACTGTACCTGCACATGTGGGAGTTTTCAAAGCTACAAGTTCCCATGCCTGCACGCTCTAGCAGTATGCAAGCAACTAAAAATCAACCCTTTGCAGTATGTGGATGACTGTTACAGTTGTGAAAGGTATTACAAAACCTATGCCGCCACTTTTTCTCCTGTTCCTGAGTTATCAGCTTGGCCTAAAGCTTCTGGAGTTCCGAGATTGTTTCCACCGGTCATTCCGGCGCTGCTACCGCCTCCACCTCCACCTAACGTGAAAGGTAAAAGAACACTGCTAAAACTAATAACAAGAGCTGATAAGGTAGAGAGGTTTGAACCTAATAGAACCGGGCATTTTGGTGTGTTTATGTAGTAGATTTTGACTCTAGCGATGTACCATCTAGAGATGATGATACTAAAGGACGCAAGATCGTCTTCGTCGGGGGAAAGAACCATTTGTTTGACTTCGATGATCTTATAAAAACACCTCCAGAGGTTTTGGGTAATGGTGTTTTTGGTACAGCATATAAGGTAACAATGGGAGACATGAGCACGGTGGTAGTGAAGGGACTGAAAGAAGTAGTGGTGGGAAGACGAGAGTTTGAGCAACAAATGGAGACCATTGGAATGATCAGACATGAAAATGTAGCTGAGCTGATTGGTTACAGCTATTCCAAAGGCGAGAAACTCATTATTTATAGCTACTACAGTCAAGGAAGCCTCTTCAAAATGTTGCACGGTTAGCCATTATTCAGTTAAACTAAATCAAAAGCAAAACAATTAAGCAAACAGAGTTCAATATTGTTTTAATGCAGGAAATAGAGAAATGTATGATCGAGTACCTTTAGATTGGGACGCTAGACTGAGAATAGCAACTGGAGCAGCGAGAGGGCTGGCTAAAATCCATGAAGGGAATAACGGGAGATTCATCCATGGGAACATCAAATCCTCAAACATCTTCTTAGACTCACAATCCTACGGCTGCATTGGTGATGTTGGCTTAGCAACCATCATGAAATCTCTTCCTCAGACCACTTGTCTTGGTTCAGGTTACCACGCACCTGAAATAACAGACACTAGAAGAAGCACACAGACTTCAGATGTATACAGCTTCGGGGTGGTTTTACTCGAGCTTTTGACAGGGAAATTGCCGGCAAGTCCAGTGGTTTCAGAGGCGGAAGATGGTGGTGAGAACATGGACTTGGCTAGCTGGATAAGGAATGTGGGGGAGAAAGATATGAGAGGAGAAGTGTTTGATATGGAGATTGTGAGTGGGGGTGTGGAGGAAGAGATGGTTGAGATGATGCAAATAGGGTTGGCTTGTGTTGCAGTGAAGCAACAAGAACGACCTCACATAGCTCAAGTTGTGAAAATGATTCAAGATATTCGATCATTTGTTTATTCAATTTGGTGAAAATTGTTTATTGATGTATTGTTTCAGAGCAGATTTGCAACAAAAAAGGAACGAAACTTTGTGTTGTATAGTCAAAAACAAACAAAATAATCCATCTTCATGTATTAAAAAAAAAACAGAACAGAAGTACTAAAACATTGCAAAGATCAAACGGGACTGGGAAGCTAGAAAAGGTGAGGCTTTGGATCTGATTTCATTCCGAGGATGATGATCTGGCTTCCATACCGATCTTGAAAGAGCTCAATGATATCCAGAACCAGAAGGATCCTTCAACCTCGTACAGTGGTGGTCAGACTTAGCTAAGCTGTAATTGTAGCTACGTAATAATCATACTGAACTGATACTAGTTGGGAAATGTCCATTTTCAAGCAGATAGCATAAATTGCCGCTCTGTAGTAATCATAAGCGTTTGGTTCCAACTACCATAGCTTGGCATCGTGCCTCATTTATAGTAACACCATTTCAGATCAGCGAAAAAAAAGAAAACTCTTTCTTGTTCTGATACGGTTTACGTATCGGTTCTGGTAACACAAAGAAATCAACAAGAAATAATGATGAACTGATGATGTTTTTGATTACTGAGTGATGAAAGAAAGTACAAGTTTGAGATATATTAACATGAGTCTCTCAACCTCCCCATGAACATGATGATCAAACAGCTTGATACCTATTCTCAACCTATTATGATTCTACTTATAGAGGTATCACACCCCACACCCTCTCCGAGTCACCAACAGACCATGTGCACCAGCGGAGTTCAACATCATAAAATAAAGGAAAAACCGCATAAAAAACTTTTGAAGTGACACTTACCATTGAAGTTTTTCACTACCACTTTAAACCTTTGAAGTGACATTTACTATCAGTTAAACATTGAAGTTTTTCACTACCACTTTAAACCTTTAAAGAGACACTTGTATCATAAAAAATCTTGAACTTGAAAATCTGACATGTTGAACACGTATAACAAATAGTTTATCAAGTTTTTTTTGAAAAATAAAAATTTCATAAATAATCTAAAACGAATAAAAAACAATTAAATTTTCAAAAAAGTTAAAGAAATTTTCAGAATATAAAGAAAAATTATAAAAAATAATTTAAAATAACAAAAATTAAATAAAATTCTGAAAATTAAACAAAAATAAAGAAAATTGACAAAATTGAACAAAAAAATAAATAAAAATCAAAAACTAAATTACATTTTCAAAAAATTAAAGAAAATTCAGAACATAAAGAAAATTATAAAAAAAATTGAAAACTGTTTGAAACATCATCGTCAATAGTGATATATTTGAAATTATTATTCTCAACTATAATATTTTCAATTTTTGAAAAAAGAAATCTTGTAATTTTTATGAAATTTTCCAATAAAATTGTCATAACATTGTTGACAAAAAATTTTCAAACATATCACTGTTGAAGTTGATGGTTTCAAATAGTTAAAAACATAATCTTTTAATTGTCAAAATACTATTTTGAATTTTTGAGTTTTCAATTTTGTGAATTTTCTTTAATTTTTGTTTAATTTTATGAATTTCTTTATTCTGGTATTTAAATTTATTTTCTTTATCAATTTTTCTTTATGTTCTGAAATTTTCTTTAACTTTTTAGAAAATTCAATTGAATTTTTTTTTGGATTTTTATTATATTTATATTTCTTAAATATTTATTTCTGAAAAACCTAATAAATAAAATAGGTAATTTATCAGGTTTTTCCGAGAAATAAATATTTACTAAATAATCAAAAATAAAACAAATTCAATTTGTGACTTTTCTTAATTTTTTCAGAATTTTATTTAATTTTTGGTATTTCAATTTTTTTTTTATAAATTATTCCTTTTATTTAGTATTTATTAAAAAATTAATTAAATAATTATTTTTCGCAAAAAACTTGATAAATTACCTGGTTTACCTGTTCAACAAGTCCGATTTTCAAGTTCAAAGTTTTTTGTTACACAAATATCACTTTGAAGGTTTAAAGTGCTAGTGAAAAAAATTCAAGGTTTAAAGTACTATTAAATGTCACTTTGAAGGTTTTTTATACGATTTTCCCATAAAATAAATAAAAAAGCAAATTGTACTTCTCAACTTTAGTTGTTTTTATTTGTCAAAAAAAAACTTTAGTTGTTTTTAGTTAATTAGTTACTAGGTGGTTATCGCGAATTCGTGGATATAAATATTGTATAAATATATATATAAATATATATCTATATATATATATATATATATATATATATATATTATGTGAACAATATCATAAATTTTGAATAATAATTAGAAACATTAAAATACAATTTTTTGTTTCAAAGAGTTTGACAATCAGTCGTCAAATTTCCATAACTTTGATGTAAAATAACTGATGAATATTTAGTAATAACAAATAATTGTGGAATCATATTATGTATGTAATTATCATATTAATTTCTCCAACACATATTATGCATATTCTTCGGTATTTTCTTATGTTTCTCGTTGTCATTTCGTTTTTTTATTAAATTTTGCTAAGGTCAAATCATTATATTGACTATAAATTATTTATATTCATTTTTATGTAGTATATAAATATAAAAAAGAATTAATCAAACATTATTGCACTTTCTTTAATTTAAAAATTAGGTACCATTAATTTTATAATAATTTATATAGTATGAAGATTTTAAACTCATGTAAATAATCTATAAACTCGTTTTATGATTATTAAAAGTTATTATAATGTATTTGTATCATAATTATATGTTTTATATATGTATATTATGACTTATATAAGAAGATAAAGCTATTTTTATCACAGTTTGTAATAGAAAAATAAAGTTAGTAAATTAGTTTGTTAACTACTTTTAAAAATATATTTTATATAATTTATAAATAGACAATTAGTGAATCCATATATATGGAAGTATTATATAAAATTTTCCTAATTGCTAAAGTTAAATATTGTAAATAATTATGCATAAGATTATATGGATTGTTTGTTAATTGGTTCTAGGATTACTTCTTTTAGATTTTACTAAAATAAATAAAAATTAAAAATCATCGACTAATCATATTATAACAATTTTTTTAAACTTCACATATGATTAACACTTAAGAAAAATCACTTAAATGACTTGTCAATTAATATATAGTAGGATAAATTGATAAGAACATGGACTTGGCAAGCTGGATAAGGAATGTGGTGGTGGAAGAGTGGACAGGTGAAGTGTTTGACATGGAGATTTTGAATGAATCAGGTGGTTTCAAGGAAGAGATGATGCAAATAGAGGTTGCTTGTGTTGCAGTGAAGCAACGAGAACGAACACAAGTAGTAGTAGCCTTTAAGCCTTATAACAAAGGCAAAACCTTTTTTTTTTCATTAATAGATAATTTGCTTATTCAATTTGAAAGTGAAAGTTTTTTATTGATGTATTGTTTCAGAGCAGATTTGCAGGAAAAGAAAAAGAACGAGACTTTGAATTTATAAAAATTCAGAAACGAACAAAATAATCCATTTTCATATATATAAAAATAAACAGATAGCACAAGCACTAAAACATTGGGAAGATCAAACGGGGCTGAGAAGCTGGAAAAGGTGAGGCTTTGGGTCTGACTTCATGCCGACAACGATGATGAGAGGGATGAATCCATAGTGAGTGGCGACCTTTGCTTTCTTGAGAGACCAGTTGGTCCAATCCTTGAAGAGTTCGTACTTGGATGATGACGTGGAAGAAGAAGATGATCCCTTCGACCCTTTTCGTCCTTTGGCTTTAAGCTTCAACGGACCCTTAGCCGCCATTTGATTCTGACGTCAAGAACTCTCTGTCGAGTATACCTGTGTCAGTATTTTGGAAGCGGAGACTTTTTGCTGGATGCCTAAAACCCTAAAGGGTTTAAGCCATTTTAAAGCACCCTTTTTTAAAAAACTCTGTCTGTATCAGAAGGCTACTCATTCTCATTTCTCTCCCATTTTAATAAAATTTATTTTCTTAATCTCTGGCAGTTCTCCAATTCTGGCCTCCAAGGCGTTATATCTCGTCTTCTCACGATCGGCAGGAGTGAATCGTGAACCGAGTTTAAGGATCTGTCTGAGGGTATAAATCTCACTACCTTGTTCGATTGTTGGTTTAGCTGGAATCGATTGCTTGTTCAAAGCGAGAAAAATGGCTTCGAAACGGATCTTGAAAGAGCTCAATGATATCCAGAATGATCCTTCAACCTCCTACACTGCTGGTCAGACTTTTAATTATTCTTCGTATCTTGTTTTAAGCAGAGTGACATTTTTCTTCATTCTTAAACAACATAAAATTGCAGCTATTCACACTGAACAAACTGATGGGTGTATATACTAATACTAAAGATGGGTAATTGCTCTAATTACCATATTCAAGCAGATTGCATATAGTACCGTTTTGTAGTGATCATAATCGATTAAGATTTTTGGTGCCAACTACCATAGATTGCATTGTGCCTTGGTTTATCTAGGTATTTATAGCTTGTAGTACAAACTTTCTCCTCTGCAATGAGGTCCGCATCTTCTTTGCTATTTATAGTAACATCATTTCAAATCAGGTGAAAAAAAAAGAAAGCTCTTTCTTGTTCCTGGTTATTTTTCTATTGTTTATAGTTGTTGTTTTTGCTTTATTAGAATGTTAAAAAGTTCATTATGAATCCGTGCTGTTGGTCTCGGTAGACTAAGGGATTAATTAATGTAGGAGAATCTCAAATTGCTCATGCATTCTTCTGCTGGTGAAGTCCTACTACGCCCGAGCATTAATGTTTTGTTGTGTGTATTTCAGTTATTCTTATGGATCATATGTTTAAGAGAAACTAAACTTTATTTTATGTCTTCTGTGAACAATTGTGAAACCTTCAAGGTCCAGTTGGTGAAGACTTGTTTCATTGGGAAGCTACAATAAAGGGTCCATCAGACAGTTTTTACTCAGGTGGAGTCTTTATTTTAACCATTCACTTCCCTCCTGATTATCCTTTCAAACCACCCAAGGTTAGACTTAAGTTTGTAACCTTTTTAAATCATTCTCTTGGAATTAAATTGCTCATTTTCTTCTTGCAGGTTACGTTTAGGACAAAAGTGTTTCACCCTAATGTCAACAGCAATGGAATCATTTGCCTCGACATTTGCCAAGATGTTTTGAAAGAACAATGGAGTCCTGCACTCACCATTTCCAAGGTGAACAAAAAAATAAAGCGCTCTTCTTTCATTTTAACAAAACAGCAATGGCGAGAACTAGTCTTTTGACCCTGATTATAATCCAGTCTATTGTGACTTGCTAGGTTTTGGTTTCGATATGTTCATTGTTGAGGGATCCAAACCCAGATGATCCTATGGTTCCCGAGATTGCTCACATGTATAAAACCGATAGGACCAAGTATGAATCTACTGCAAGAAGCTGGACTCAGAAATATGCAATGTGATACAGGTTTCTTCTTTTCATACATTCTTTCTTTGTTTTCTTTGCAATTATGAAAAAAGTTATGTAACAATATTATATTGTAGGGTATAATGCGTGGATAGTGGGCTTTATTTTCCCCACATACATTAATGGGCCTTTTTGGCCTATTGGTCATATGTTAAATGATATTTTTGTGGGTTTCCTTACAGTCAAAAACAACTTAATTACAGTAGTGTGTGAGAGTGACTGTCTGCCTCCTTGATACATCACCGGAGAAATCCTTAATGCAACTGAAAGTGCTTCCGTTTCTCAACATCTAAGTTTTCCTTCCGAAAACCAAAACAAGAATCTCCATCATCTCAGGTATGTAACATCTTCGATTACATTTTTATTTTATTTTAGGGTTTTTTTTTTAGAAAGCTTTAGGGTTTTGATGATATATCAATCGTTTCTTTTTTATATTAAAGCTTCTCTTACTACCAAAATCAGACACAAGTGTTAGCATTTTAGGGTTGTTGTTTTAAAGGAAGACATTGTTCGTGTTATCCACTGCATTGACGTTTTTTAAAAAACTTTGAATTCATTGCAGGTTTGTTGTGCTCATGGCTGAAACAGAGGTTTCAGTTTACTGTTACTGGAATGGTTGCATCAAGTATGGCCCGGAAGGCGTATACTATGAAGGAGCCACTCCTAAAAAGATTATAGTGCACCCAAAGATTGCATTAAACAGATTGTTGGATGAGATGTATGTGCTTACTAGAGTAGATGTTGATAAGCAGAGATCCAAAGTCAAAATATTTTGTAGGTATCCTTCTGTTGTTGGAGAATCTTCGTTTCAGTATCTACTTCTCCCCGTGGTGAACAACCATAGTTTGGAGACAATGCTTGAGGTTCCAAGAAAACACCCTTGTGTTCAAAATGTGGAGTTTTATTTGGAAGTGAAGTCTGAGGGGGTTACTGGTCCTGCTGCTTGTTCCTCGAAACGACAGAAGACTAGCATACATGTTAAGGTAGAGAGAGATAACAGTACTGGAAACAATGGAGATGCAGTAGACGCTGACATGACAAATAACATTTCTAGTTCAGATACTGTGGCGCAGGTGGGAGGAGATAACAGCAAACCTTATAAGGATTTGAATAAAGAGTCCAGTTCTGGTGTTTCAAAACCTTGTCTGTCTAGTTTGTGGCTTGACGATCATGACTTGCGTGTAGGGTTGTGCTTCAAAGATTTTGATGAGCTGAAGAAGGCTGTTGACTGGTGTTCTATTAAAGGAATGCAAAAGTGTGTAGTAAGAGAAACTCACAAGGACGAATTAATATTTGAGTGCATCAGATGGAAATGCAAGTGGTCACTTGTGGCCGCTAGAATGGAAAAGCACGGTCTTGTTGAGTTAATCAAGTATACTGGTCCACATACTTGTCCACGCATTGAGCCAGAGAAATTTGATTCAGAGTTCGGAGCAGATGAGACTGAACGTGCGGTCAGGATAAATCCAACGCTGTCATTTGCAGAGTTGAGCAAGTGGTCGGATGCAAAATTTAGCTATGAGTTTGAAATTTCAGAGGTGCGGGCTGCTAAAGAGGAGGCTATTAAAAGAGCATTTGGAGATCAGAGTTTTGAAGATTTGCCGAAGTTAATGTCTACCTTTCAATCATCTAATAGACGCCTAGTTGACTGGAAATACGATCTTTTTCCTAATCCTAAGTTTGCATCCTTCTGTGGAGTGTTTTGGGCATTTCCACAGTCTGTCGAAGGGTTTCAACACTGTAGACCTCTGATCGTAGTGGCCACCAAAGGGCTGAAAGGTAAGTACCAGTTGAAATTGATGGTTGCCTCAGGGTTAGATGCGGACAACGATTATTTCCCTCTTGCATTTGCGGTGACCAAGGAAGTGTCGTCAGATAGTTGGCGTTGGTTTCTCACTAATATCAGAGAGAAAGTTACACAAAGGAAAGGCGTTTGCCTCATCTCCAGTCCCCATCCGGACATAGTCTCTGTTATTAACGAACCAGGGTCCCAGTGGAAAGAACCCTGGGCTTATCACAGGTTCTGTGTGAAACAGTTCTCTTCCCAGTTCTGTCGTGGTTTTCCTGGCCTGGAGAGTCTCTTGAAGCAAGCTGGAGAAACGAGTCAGAGGGATGAATTTGAAAACCACCTAGAGACCATTAAAAAGGAGAAGCTAGAAGCTTGGAGAAGGTTAGACCAAATCCCTCAAAATCAGTGGGCTCTGGTTCATGACAGTGGTAGGAGATACGGAGTCACGGAGGTAGATTCAGAAAGTCTGTTTGCAGTTTGTAGAGGCTTTGAGTTGGCTGATTATGCACTGACAGGTTCTGTTCTGCTTCTCTTTGATGAGTTGAGAGAACTTTTTGCCGACCGTTCTCAGTTCAACCGCAACTCTCTTAATTCCGGCTATGTTTACCACAAACCTGTCAGGGACAAGCTTGAAGCGTTCAGGACATCTACGACTACTTACGTTGTAATGCCGTTATACAACAACGCTTTTAAGGTGGAAGAACCATCACAAAATGATGATTGGATCGTCCAGTTGAGCGATTGTACCTGCACATGTGGGGATTTTCAAAGATACAAGTTCCCATGCCTGCACGCTCTAGCCGTATGCAAGCAGCTGAAAATCAACCCTTTGCAGTATGTAGACAACTGTTACATTTTAGAACGGGATTGCAAAACCTATGCGGCCACTTTTTCTCCTGTTTCGGAGTTATCAGCTTGGCCTGAAGCTTCTGGAATTCCAAGATTGTTTCCTCCGGTCATTCCAATGCCGCGACCGCCTCCACCTAACGTAGCAGGTAAGACCCAACGCAAGACCACTCCTAAAATTAATAACAAGAAGAGCTGATAAAAGTGGCTAGAGAGGTTTGAACCGAACCGGGCAATTTAGTGTGTGTGTTTTATGTAGTAGCTTTTGACTTTTGGGAATTGGGATGTACGGTTTAATCCGGTTTCAGAACTTAGAAGCTTTTGATGTGGTTATGTAGAGACTGAGTGATGCACTCACTTTAAAGACTTTTCTCTATCTGCTTCTACCCGGCTAAAACTCAATCCGGTTCGTTAATGAGAACTTTTTCTGATCTCATGAACCGATACGAAACAAAGCTAAACGGGAAACTAAATCCCACCGTCCTCTGATTCTTCAACATCTCTTTCTTCCCCTATCGTTTTTGAAAAAGAATATTTAAGCGGTAAAATCTCCCGCTTACACAAACAGGCCTTTCTATTTCGGCCCATTTATACTTTCTTTTTTAATTATATTTCGAAAAACCGAGGAACGTGTGAGAGAAGAGAACGTACAAGTAAGAAGAGTGTGTGAGAGTGATCGTCTTCCTAGAGACGCTTCCTCGGAGAAACCCTGTGAAATTACTTCCCCTTTCTTCACGAAAAAAACTCCGATTTCTAGGTACGTACAGTTGTTAACTTGCTTTTTTTTTCTTCTGTTAACTCCGAGACGGTAAGCGTCGCTTTTCTCGCTATCGTTTTGATTCGTAGATTTCTAGGGTCTCAGTATTCACTTTTTAGGGTTCGAGAAACTTACAAGTGATAGATATTGTTAGTTCGGTACGGATCTTTTTATTTCGATCTTTAAAAGTTTAGTCTTTGAATTCATTCTCTTCACAGGATTGTTGTGGTCATGGCTAAAAGAGAGATTACAGTGTTGTGTTACTTGGATGCTCGTATCAAGCATGGTCCTGATGGTGTCTACTTTGAAGGATCCACTCCAAAAGAGATGAGAGTCAAGAAAAATACTAACTTTAGCACTTTTATGGATGGGATTTATCTAATAACTGGATTAGATAAGAAGACATCAAAAATTACAATCCTCGGTAGATACCCGTCTGTTGTTTCACAGTCTATGGTTAAGTATGTGCTTTTTCCCGTCATGTGCGACGGTCAATTGGATAGAATGCTTGAGGTTCCAAGCAACCATCCTTCTATAAACACTCTGGAGTTGTATTTGGAAGTTAAACCTGCAACTTCTGTTGTTCCTCCTTCTGACTTCTCATCATGGTCAATGGAGAATCCTGGTGGTCCCTCTAAAAGACAGAAGAAGACAAAGCCGGCTGGTAAAAAACCAGGTTCAGATCGGTCCAGCAGCTTCAAGAAAGTTGCTAGTTCTGGTGCTTCAGAACCGCCTCTTCGGTCTAGTTTGTGTTTCAAAGATAAGGATGAGCGGAAGTACTCATATCCACATGGTTTTGATGAGGATGTTTTCGCATGTGAGGTTGAGAGTGTGGTCAGTGTACACCCCACGCTCTCAGTTGCAAAGTTGCTGAAGTGGTGGAAAGAAAAACATGGCTTTGGGCTCGATGGATTTGATGAAGTTGATGATGCTGAAGGGCTGATGCAGGAAGCCAAAGAGAAAGCTATCAAAAGACTCTTTGGAGATTGGGATCAGAGTTTCAGATTCATGCCCAAGTTAATGTCTGCGCTTCACTCTTCTAACGGGATGCTAGTGGACTGGCAGTATGATTCTTTGCCTAATCCTGAACATGCTTCCTTTCGCAGCGTGTTTTGGGCATTTTCACAGTCTGTTCAAGGGTTTAAGCATTGCAGACCTCTGATTGTTGTGGACACCAAGCACTTGAAGGGTAAGTACAACATGAAACTGATAATAGCCTCAGGGTTTGATGCAGCCAACGAGTTTTTCCCGCTTGCCTTTGCGGTTACTAAAGAAGTATCAACTGCTAGTTGGCGCTGGTTTCTCACTAGAATCCGAGAGAAGGTAACGCAAAGGAAGGGCCTCTGCCTCATATCAAGGAACCTCCCGGACATACTCGCTGTTGTTAACGAACCCGGGTCTCAGTGGCAAGAACCCTGGGCTTACCACAGGTTTTGTCTGAACCATCTCTCCTCCCAGTTCTCTCGCCTTTTCCCAGACCACCACTTCACAGAGTATCTTGTGATGAAGGCTGGGTCGTCGAGTCAGAAGGCAGAATTTGATTCCTACATGAAGGACATCAAAGAGAAGAGTCCAGAAGGTTGGAAATGGATTGACCAAATCC